ATGTTGCTTCTTGATCTTTGGGCTAGGCACGTGGGTTTTTCAGGTTTGAGATGTCATCAAGCTAACCACTTGAATGCTTTTTGAGACATGTTATTCAGTAACAGCAAGTCTTCCAATGGAGACTGTTCAGCCTCAGGACCAAGGTCTCAACTGATACTGGCAAGGGAGACCCTTCTCTCCCTTACCCTCAGTGCTTGGAACCCAGTGCTTGTCATAAGCAATGCCATCCTTACACAGCAGGACGGCAAGGACACCCTGTACTGGGTAACCTAGGAACAGAGTGGCCTGTGAGGAGCTGGGAAGGGAGACTAGAGGGTTGAGACCTGTTCCCCAGGCACAACTGGCAGTGACGTAGGATAGAATCTTCAGCAACCAGCCCTGCCCTGCTGCTGAGCCAGGAAGGCAGCCAGCTGGGCTCAAATCCCAGTTCTCCAACATTCATTCCTCAGAGGAATGGGGCACTACAGAATCCTCCTGGGCCATCGAAGCAGCCAACCTGGATTAAAACCTGGTCTTACCAAGGATTTGTCCTGGTGACTTTATTTTACAGCTAAGGAGAAGTCAACACCACCTGCTTTGCAGGTGCTGCTGTGTACCCGTAAGCGTAAAAAGTAAGTAACTTTAGACTCTAAGCTCCTCAAGGGCAGGGACTTTGCCTTGTTCATTGCTTTAGCTGCAGTTACAGAACAGTGCTTGATACACACAGATGCTAAATTCATGTTTGCCGAAAGAATGAAATATAAATAAAAGCCCTAGCCCAGAGAAGAGGCTCCAAATAGAATGAGTTTTTACATTAACTGCTGAAATAAACATAACCATCTTTATTCTGCAGTGATGGGGATTGAATCCAGGGCTCATGGATTGTACTCTACTACTGAGCTACATCCCATTCCTTTCTCTTTTTTTTTGGTACTGGGGATCGAACTTGAGACCTTGCGGTTGCACAGCAGGTGCTGGAATCACTGAGCTAAATCCCCGCCCTCCTTTCTGTTTTGAACAGGTTCTTGTTAAGTCGTTAAGTCTTAAGTCGCACAGGCTGACCTTGAACTTGCCATCCTCCCGTCTCAGACTCCTGAGTAGCTGGGAATACAGGCATGCACCATCACACCCAGCAAACATAACCATCTTGAAGTTAACTCATGATTATTACTGAATTTTGAAGTTTCCTACCAAAGCTCAGGATGAGGGTTAGCCTTCAGTCTTACCCAAGGCCAACTAAGGGTCCCTAGAATCTGCTGAGGGGCTAGGATGAAGTCAGGATCTTTTTGAGTGCCAGTGAACTGCCTCTCATTTAGTTACTTGTGGTTAAGAATGGGTGGGTCACTCATTGTAGGTTTTTCTTTTTGGTAGTCCTGGGGATTGACCCTAAGGCCTTGTGCATGCTAAGTAAGCATTCTACCACTGAGTATATCCACAGCCTGGGTCATTCATTTCTAATCACTCACTGATACAATGCAAATTCCTTCCTCCTTTGTCTTTGCTTCCGGACCACACTTCAAAGATGTAGACCCCCATGGCGTGGTTGGAACAGGGGAACATTCCTGCCCTACTTTCCTACAGGTTAACCTCATTCTTGGTCTAGTCAAGGATCCCACATTAGGACCTGTAGAGACTATATCCAAGCTAGTTCCCTCTACAGGAACGTCTCGGAAAACCCTACAATAAATGGCTAAACATTCTTGGGGGTTGAGATTGTTACTGGTGGTTGTAGGATTCAGGGCTCCAGCATCCTACTTTTTTCTTCCATCCATCTCCTACTTTCTGGTAGTAAATAATTTCAGGGAAGCCAGGTGTGATGGTGCACACCTATAATCCCAGTAGTCTGGAAGGCTGAGGCAAGAGGATCACAAATTGGAACAACTTAAGCAAGACCCTGTCTCAAAATAAAAATAAGACAGGGCTGGGGATTTAGCTCAGTGGTCCTGAATTCGATCTCGATACCAAAAACAAAACACAAAACAAAACAAAAATAAAAATAAGACATAAAAAGGGGGTTCTGATGTAGCTAGCACAGGGTTCAATCTCCAGTTCCAAAAAAACAAAAAAGTCAGAGAAATCAGGAGCCAGAAAGGTCCGTGCAAATCCTACCTTGTCACTACAACAATGACTTTGATTGAGTCACAATCATTTAGGCTGACCTTTACAAGATTGTCATGATTCACACAAATACTTCCTGGGCATCCTATCATGCACCAGGCCTGGGGAACACACCGGTGACCCTTAGCCTTCCTGTGCCTCAAAGGAAGTTCCTGAGGCATTCAGCCTAGGAAGTTGAGTCAATTAAGCCATGCCTCTGTTTCTCTACCTTTAAAACTTCTACCGGGGTTAGGCTACAGGGTTTCTGAAGTTCCACATCTAGATTAAGAGCTCAAGTTATTTAATATTTACCTTACCTGCTTCAAGAGAATGTTAGGAGGACAAAGCAAACTCAAACTCAGAGTTGTAGAAGGGTTTTGAAGAGGAAGATGCACGTATAAACAAGGTATTAATTATATCAGATCATTTCTTTGAGCTCAACTTCATAGGCATCGTGATATTCATAACCCAGGGGCAAACAACAAGGGCAACTGTTTCTGAGTAGTATAGAAACTGCTGTTGGGCTTGGCAAAATGTGAGTCGGCATGTGCCCACAGGATAACCCTTTCAGCCAGGCTGGATCCAGGCTGGGGGACCAAGTTTTGAAAATGGGAAGCTTAAGTGGAAGGTAGAAATGTATCAGCAAGGCTGGGCATAGTGGTACATGAGTGTAATCCCAGCACTGGGAGGCTGAGGCAGGAGGAGTGCCATGAGTTTGAGTCCAGCCCGTACTACCTAGCGAGTTTAAGGTCAGCCTGATTGACATAGCAAGACCCTGCCTCAAAAAAAAAAAAAAAGCCCATGAAGATCAAGAGGAAAAATGAAACTTGTTCTATCTTTTGTTTAGGAGTTTTAATTTCTTTATTTTGAACTTTTAAGTCTATTTTTAAAAGGGGTCCCATTATACTGATCAAGCTGGTCCTGAACGCCTGGGCTCAAGCAATCCTCTGGAGTAGCTAGGACTACAGCTACACACTTGGTGGCTTGGGGACTCTCAACTTACCTGGCATCAATTGGGCCCAGAAACTTCTTTTACTTTAAAACAAGGCAGCAGACCGTTTCACAAAAGCTTGCTCTAAGAACCAGTCATGTTTGCAGGGAGACTCGAGGTGAGCCAAGCAGATTAACCCGCTTTGTTTTATAACCCAGGTGTGTTCCTGGCACAAACTCAGCGTTTTCACAACCATAAGCCAGACATCCGAGAAAGCTGCATTTCCTCAAAAGGTTTAAAATGCCTGATGTCACTGGGAAGCACTCACCAACTCAACCATGAAATCGAAAGCCTGATCACTGCTTCCCCTCTAAACCCCCAAACAACCTCAAGCCTAGGGAAGTGACAGCTAATCTGGCATTTCTTGCTTCAGTATGATAAGGCACTGACAACACTCAAAACCATAGCCCACTCTGGCTACAGCAGAGAACTTGACAATAGGGAGGTGGGGGTATAGTTTTGGCTGAGTCTGGTTAGCAATAAAGCTTCCTCAGGGAGCCTGAATTGGATTTGGGGCCCAGCCTGAGTTAACATTTTTACAGGTTGGCTCAGTCGCAGTTTGTTAGCCAGCCAGTAATAAACCCATATGCAAGAATTTAAAGTTTATGAAGCATGGCCTCTTAATGCCTCTACTAGGCTCCCTATAGCCAAGGGTTTAAGGAGCCAGGCCTAGCCTGGGTGTTAATTGTTTTGTCAATCTGCACAGTTATTTGGGAAAAGAATTTTTTTAAAAAAGCTTCCACAGACTTAAAGCCCTCGATCCTCTTTGGAGAAACAAAGGAGAGCTATTCTGTCCCCTAGGCACTGATACTCCACATTCAAGCCGTGGGCACTTGTACCTAGGATAAGGGGCATGTTGATGGGAGCACTAGAAAAATGCTAGGTGGCAACAGTTCTTAATGTTTTAAAAAGCGGGTAAACTATAGGTCTCCTCCCCAGGAAAATGCATACACAAGCTTTCTGGAACTCCACCCAAGGATCCTGGATTACACCCCTGTTTAAGAACTTGAGTTTGATCCCTTGTAGGAACTGCGCTTGTCCTCTCCACTTGGAAAGCAAGAGACCACCACCACCACCACCCCACCCCCCCAGCCACAGCTGCTTGGGTCTCATGACACACTAGTTCTCTGCCCCAAAGTGACCCCCTACTCTCAAGTTTTTGAACTTGAGGGGGGAAATGAGTAATTAGAAGATCAAAAATGTGCTTTGATCTCTCTCTCTCTCTCTGTCTCTCTCTCTCTCATCCATCCTTTTCATAGCCCAAGGCTTGATGGCTTGGGACACTATCGGCCACCCAAGTGATCTAACGTCCCACTCTCAAGACGCGAGAGGACAGGGGTGTCCCCCTTGCGAGATGGCCCCAGCCCAGGTGTGCCAGGCGGTTTTCAGGCAGCAGGGGCACAGGCCCTCCGGGAAGGGCAGGGTTAAGAGTGCATTCCAGCCGCCGGGGGAAGAAGGGGGCGGGGGAGAGGAGCGCGGAGAAGAGAAACAGACCCCGTCTGTCTGTCAGAGACACAAAGCACGGTTCACAAAGGGGGCCCGAGAGAGGCGAAGGGGGCTGCCCCGGGCACCGCTCATCCCCACACCTGCGCGGGGGTTGGGGGAGGAATGTGCACGGCGCATTCCTCCGCTGGGGCCAACCGGAGAGAGCTTTCCGCGCCGGGACTGGGTGAGAGGCCCCGGCCAATCGATCCGGAAGGGTCAAGGCAAGCAGTGTCGACGGGGCGAGGAGGGGGTGGGCGTCAGAGGGTGCTACGCCGCCCAGCCTTCTCGGTCAGCCACTCACCGCCAGCACAGCCCGAGATGTACTCTCCGCGCCTCCCCGGGATCTGAGACGGTACCCAAGCCCCCTGCACCAGCCTGGCCGCCCCTCGCGCGTTCCCCCGCAAGGCGGATCCACCCGGGCCGGCTTGGGAGAGGAGGGTGGTCTTACCTTTCTCCAGCGCCTGGCCCGGCAGCACCTCTCTGCCTCCCGCCTCCAAGGTCACTCCAGCCTCCCCAACGCCCGCCGGGCAAGGCTGAGAGGCTGCGCCCAGCAGCCAGCAAACCTGTGCCTGAGGGCAGAGATGGAAAGAGGGAGGCCGGTTACTGACTGGTCTGGCCCTGCACACCCAGTCCTGGGGAGTCCTTACCGGGCCGCCGGGACTACATCGACCCCCAAGGACTGCAGCCCCGCGCTGTCCGCGACGCCACCGCCGAGCGCGGACCCCGCCCGCCCTCCAGGGAGCAGGTCCAGGTAGGCGAGGTCCGGGCACGGGAGTACCTGGAGGAGGAGGAAGGACGCGAGAGGCCCAATGAGGAAAGTCATGGTTGTTGAAAGGGAGGTAAAAAGACTGCTGAGACGGCGGGACCGTGCACTGCTAAGCTCTGAGCGCTCCTAGGAGCGCCGCGACTCGCGGGAGCCAGGAGGAGGAGGAGGAGGACAGGTGAGCGCAGGCAGGTGCTGATTGGCTCAGGGTCGCAAGGCCCCGCCCCCTCGCAGGTGGGGCCGCGGCCGGCTTGCAGAAGCCACTGGAGAAGCCTTGCGTGTCCTCCCTGGCTCTCCCTGCGTGTCGGAGCTGCTCCTGGCAGAGAACTCGGCTCGGCTCGCAGGTTCTGAGTTGCAAGAAGAAAAAAACCCCACTCCATTCCTCAGCCTCCGCAGCGTAGGATGATAAACGTTTCTTTGCCTTGTGGCTACGGCGGTGAGGGAAAAAGTAGAAACAAATCTGAAACCCGGTGAAAACAGAGGCTGCCCATTCTTGATCCTGGAGGCGTTTTGATGTCCAGAGCTTTGATGGAGGCTGAGCGAGTCCTCCACACCCGGCTACGGCGCAGGCTGCCCTCGGCCTCTCTCCACCTCTCCTGCCCGCCCGCCCGGAGGACTCTGGAATTCACTGGCCCTGAGATCCCCAGGGCCCTCGAGACAGAATCTGATGCAACTTGCGGGAGAATCGTTACTTCCATTTCCCAGCTGAACAAATAGAGGGTAGGAGCAGGCGCTAGAGTTTGGAAGCCGAGATAGTACCAAAAGGTTCGAGGTAGGGAAATGGCTATTAGTTATGAGCTCCATGATCTCCGGGCCCCCACCCCATAAATAATGCTTTCTCAACTTTACGTAAAGTGTTAATAATAGCAATTCTTTTTTTTTTTAATCTGTGTCCTCTCTAGATTTATTTATCATGTCTTGCACCATGAGAAAAATCTTTGCTGTTATCTGAGTAATTATTTCTGATTTCATTTTTCCCAGATCCTCTTTTTTTGCCAGTTC